TTTAATTGTTGCGAATATTTCTCTGTAAACGAGTTATGAAAGCTCATAGAGTTTGTATTGAGCATGAGTGCGCCGCAAAAGAACTTGTGCATGTTGTCATGTTCACGTTCTTAACAAATGCTCTTTCACTTTCATAAATAGTACATACAAGTACGTCTTCTTTTTCCACACAGCTCCACCAAGTCTCTTCTTCTTTCAGTGTTCTTTAGGGCAAAAAAGATTAAATTGGGAGGAAAGTAACAGTGCAGGATAAAGCGATGAAACTGACCATTTTGCTTCATATTTTTTACTTGGAATAATTTTTTTCTTTGGTGTCTTCTTTTGCACCAATGCAGAAGATCCATATAGCTAGGTTCTATTTGGGAAGTCACTTATGGAACTCGGGCTCCTCTTGGTGTACCCCAGCAGGTTTCTTCCTTTTCTATTTTGAATTTTGTTCACATTAGAAATGCTCATACAGATATGTTAACTTTTTTTTCCAGAGTTCTAAGCTGAAGGTTTTTTTTTTGGGGTTAATATTTGCAGGTATTCTTATTAATAATCAATTTCCTGGGCCTCCGATTGAAGCTGTGACCAATGACAACATAATTGTTAATGTCATCAATCAATTAGACGAACCCTTCCTATTACATGGTTAGTTGATGTTACATGACATATTTTAGTTCTGTAAAATATTAATAACCCTGGTTTTGTTTTGGAAAATAGGCATGGAATTAAGCAAAGGAGAACGACATGGCAAGATGGTGTGCTAGGAACCAATTGCCCAATCCCTCCCACACACAATTGGACATACAAATTCCAGTTGAAGGATCAAATTGGATCCTACAGCTACTATCCTTCAACTCTAATGCATAAAGCCTCAGGTGGTTTTGGGGCTATCAACGTTAATCAAAGATCTGTGATTTCAATCCCATACCCTGAACCTGATGGGATGTAACTCTGCTTGTTGGTGATTGGTACATCAATGGCTCCAAGGTATACCATTTTCGACATTATCATCTGCAGTGCCCTTGAATCCAATTGTTCTAACAAATTACACATAAATTTTCAAACAGGCCCTACAGGAAAGGTTGGATTCAGGCTTGGATCTCTCTCTTCCAGATGGTCTTCTCATAAATGGTGCTAATAATTCTTATACTTTCACTGGCCAGCGGTAAGTCCTTCGTGCAGCCTTTGTTGGGGGAGCACAGGGATTGTGCAATACATGTATCTGAATTTTTGCTTCTGAATTACAGCGAAACATACAAATTAGGGTTACAAATGTGGGTATATCAACATCAATTAACTTCAGGATCCAGGGTCATCCGATGACTCTTATTGAAGTTGAAGGAAGCCATAGTTTGCAGGAGGTGTATGACTCCCTTGATATTCATCCAGGTATCTGTTGCTGTTTTGGTCACCTTACGTCCGTCAGTTAAGGACTACTTCATTGTGGCTTCAACCCGTTTCACCAAGCCAATCCTCACAACTACCGGTATTCTTCGCTATGCGGGTTCCAAACCCCAGCCTCTTTGCCATTGCCTGTTGGCCCAACGTACCACGTTACTGGTCCATGAAGCAAGCAAGAACCATCAGGTTGAACCTGACAGCCAATGCAGCTAGGCCTAATCCTCAAGGATCATTCCACTATAGGACAATAAATGTTGTGAGGACACTTGTTTTTGGCTAATGCAAAGGCCCAAAATAAATGGCAAATTGCGATATGCTGTGAACGGGATATCCTACGTGGATCCAAACTACTCCATTGAAACTTGCAGACTGGTTTAAATCACTGGTGTCTTCAGCTTAACACCATTAAGGATTCTCCTTCTTCAATGCCTCCGGTGTTTGGTGTTTCGGTCTTTGGATTCACCCTCCATGAATTTGTTGAGATTGTTTTCCAGAACACTGAATCCATCACCCAGTCCTGGCATCTTGATGGTTCTAGCTTCTATGTTGTCGGTAGCTTTGAATATATATATATATATATGTGTGTGTGTGTGGTGTATGTACAGACACAGTAGTTTAACATTTTACACGTTTCCTTAAAATTTCAGATATGGCGGTGGCAACTGGACACCTGGCTTGAGAAGACGATACAACCTGGTTGATGGAATACCCAGGCACACTGTTCAGGTAATTACACAGCAGTTTTTACAGATAATACATTACTTTGATCTTTTTCGATGTTAAAAAGTTTAACTTAATTAAACAAATTGTTTGCAGGTTTATCCATTAGGCTGGACTGCAATTTTGGTTTCATTGGACAACAAAGGGATGTGGAACTTGAGGTCGCAAAACTGGTCAAAGCGGTACCTAGGCCAACAAGCTTATCTTCGAGTTTGGAACGACGAGAAGAGCTTGTTTACTGAGGCTGACATTCTCCAAATGCCTTACTTTGCGGAAAGGCCGTTCAATTATAGAAGAGCATTATTATTATATTGATTGATGTAATTTATATTTATATTTCCTTATTTCTTTTACCCCCTTCAATATCAGTTACGAGGGAGTGACTGTTGGGAAGAAAACTGGGGGGACTTGGTTTCAAATAGGTCGAATTTATTGTCCTAGCTTTTGCTAGATTTTCTTTATTTCTATTCAATCACAATAACGAGCTTCTTCTTCTAGATCATGTAATCTATATATTTCTTTAAAAAGTTTTTTGCATCTCAGGTTTTTATGTTTATCTCATCAATATTATAAAATTGATCCAAATCATTTTTATAGAAACGGATGTATAAATAAAACCATTTGTATATCTTGCTTTCAATAAATATTCACCAAGACTATTGTATGGTATGCTGGGATGTATGTATAATTTTATGTTAGAGACGAATTTAAACCTATAAAATTTCATGAGCTGAAAATAAATTTTTAATAAAAATACACAAAAAAAATCTAGAATATATGTTAATTTTAAACTTTTAGGGGACGACCGCTTCCACTACCCCTCAATCAATCATAATCGTATTTGTCAAGATTATTTTACTATATATAGATTTCCTTAATTTCATTGAAATATTTTCTTAGAAAACTTGTACCTTTCTATGATACTAAATCTTTCATGCATTTTATAAAAATTTCTATCCATTGAGCAATATAAACATGGATGGACATAAATCTTATATTAGAAGAGACAAAATTCTAAAAATTTAAAAGAAACAATTATAAAATTGTAGAGGGAAATAAATTATCAATTGAAAATATAAAGAAAATATCTAAAATATATAATAATTTTAAAATTTCAGGAGGACGACGGACTCCAATCCATTCATGAACATAGATAAACTCTAACAACATTTATAAATGCATATCAAGTTTTCATTTAATGTTAGACTTATAAAATATCTAATTGTAAATACTTCTACCATAAGGAATGCTCCTCAAATTCATTGTCAATCCTTTTCCAGAAATTTTATTTTATAAGTCACATTTTTTTATTGAATGATTTCATCTTTTGCCGATTTTATGTGAAAGATGATCGGTGACGAACAATGATTGACTGTTTTCGGTGGTCGAAAAGTATAGTGCTAAAAAATTAAACTACTTAAAATTCATTACAAAAAATTAATATATCCCTAAAATTTAGTATCAGCCATCGATAGTAATGTCATCATCTCGTGTAGTGGCATAATTAAATGTAAAATTAAAGTTCAGTGTCATAATTAGAAAAATTAAACGTTTTGTGGTATAAACGAATTAGACGGAACCTCGGTGATTGATGAAGTAGTTTTCCTTAAAAACAACGCAGTGGATTTTTTATTGTTAAATATTTACTTCCCTAAATCTCGGTCTGTCTGTCTCCCACTTCCCATTATGGGCTAGAAACTCGACCGTTGGAGACTGGAGAGACCTTGAAAAGAGATACCGACGAGAGAGAGAGAGAGAGAGAAAAGCAGAGAGCAATGGCAGCCATGGGAAACGAGACTCAAACCCCAATCTCACTCTATGAGCAGTCTAGAGAAGAACGGATCAAAGCAAACCTTCAAAGAATGCAGGAGCTTGGTCTCAAAGACCTCTCCACCTCCCTCCTCAACTCCACCTCTCGTCCCTCTTCAAGGCGCGGGCGTCCTCGTGTTGCCAGTAAGCCACCTGTTACCCCTCTGTCCTCCCCCTTGCCGCCGTCTTCCACCCTCCGCCGCTCTTCAAGGTGGTGTTTTTTTTTGTTTCCCTCGTCTTTTTAATTTTCATATGACTTTTCGAATACCCATCTGATCTTAATTGAGGAATACACAAAAAAATTCCCTAGGAAAGAATGAAGGAGAAATAAAGGAAGGGGTTTTCACTATTTTGATTGATTTTTTGGTGGGTTTTTTTATGGGTTGTTTTAGGTTGCAAAATACTACTCCAGTGACCTATTCAGAGGCGGCTTTGGCGAAAAAAGATGATCTTATGGAGGATGTGGAACTGAAGCTTCACAAATCAGAGGTGTATACTGAAGAGCATGAGAAGCTTTTGGGTAACACCCAGAGGAGCTGGACACTTTTTGTGGATGGATATGGAAATGATGGAAGACGGATTTATGATTCCTTCAAAGGAAAGACTTGTCATCAATGCCGGTCTGTGAATCTGTCTTGTTCCATCTTCTTTATAGCTTCCATGGGCATACGATATTCTTGCACAACATGATTCAATCATACAATTTTTAGCTACCAACGTTAGCAGGTTTAGTTTCTTGCAGATTTAAAAGGAGCCAACTAGATTCGAGGAAACAAATTTTGGAGTTTCTTGTTTTTTCACCTTTATCTTACACATTTAATGACTGTGCTTTTGATCTGAATTATGTCTTTGTCATTGCGTGCTTTTATGGCTGTAGTTTATTATTCCTGCGGTTTCTTCGATTGGCTATTGTATGTTCTCAATGGTCATTTAAGAAATATAGTTGAACAGACTTTAGTTGACTTGCTTTAACTTGTATGATAGTATTTCTGTTTATAACTGTTACTTTGTTAATTTAAGAAAGCATTTTGATTGTGGTGATCATTGAGAATATTCAGATGAAAAAGATATCCACATTGCTTTAGAACACATTGTTTGCAAATTGACATTTTCTTGATATTACTCAATATTTTGTACCGTGAGTCTATATAGTTAAATTGATTTTATTCAGTCGTGTCATGAAAATGTTGTGCTGCAGGCAGAAAACGCTTGGTCATCGTACTCACTGTGTTAAATGCAATATGGTCCAAGGGCAGTTCTGTGGAGATTGTTTATACATGAGGTATGAATTTTTGTTGATGTAACTCAACCTTTTTCCTTCATCTTGTCTTGCAGTTGTAGGTATCCGTGCATATGCCATTAAATATTGGTGTTTTGAGCTCTCAGTTGGAATTTTATCTTGTAGATCTTTCTAAACTTTTAGATCGAGATATTCATTCCTTTCTATCAGGGGTTTTGTTGTTAATTTTCATTCTGAATCTGTAGGTACGGGGAGCATGTTCTTGAAGCCAATGAGAATCCAAATTGGGTTTGCCCCGTGTGTCGTGGAATTTGCAACTGTAGTTTGTGTCGGCAAGCAAAAGGTTGGGCTCCTACTGGCCCTCTTTATAAGAAGGTAAGTCCATCAGTTGTGCATTTTCTTGCTCGGACATTTTTTTAATGTCTAAGCTTCTATATCCTCCTGCCAGATAACAAAATTGGGCTTCAAGTCGGTTGCACATTATCTCATTCAAACCCGGAGTGTCCAAACCAATATTGAAAATAATCAAGATCATACTGATCAAGTTTCTGCTAAGCGGTCACTGTCCTTTTCTCCTCCGGAATTGCCATCTGAGGTCGATGAGCTTGTAAAAACAAAGCCTCAAACTGGAGAGGATGGCTTGAACAGTGAGAAAAACGAATTAAATGCACACCCAGAATCAAATACATTGATATTCTCAAAGAATGAAACAGTGTTTGAGAAGGGGGAGCCTACGGAGATCAACCTTGATGTCCACGGGCAACATGTAAAAGATGCCAGCCATGATGAGACCACAGAGGTTAATGGTGAAGTTTTGGATGGTGCTGGGGAAAATGTTGATGAAAACTGTACTGCAACGGAGAGTAGTCCAAAGCTAACGAAGAGGCCTGCATCTGCTATGGAAAATTCTCTAGATGGCAATGATACAAGGTTGAAGCAAAGTTGCGAACAAGGCAATGATAATGACCAGCCGGGGTTACCAAGAGCATCAGGTGAGACCGCACAAACATGTCATCATGGAAGGAGTCCAAGAAAATGAAGTATGGTACTTGTGGAACTAATATAGACTGTGTAGCCAAAAGATTGAGGCCTCGAAACAAAGCAGTTTGAAGCAGCAGTTTCCTCAAACTCTTAATTTATCATGGTGATTCAGTGGAGAATTCGCAATTTTTGAATGGGGCTTATACCTGGTAGTAAACTGTTCTTCCTCTTAACTGCATTCAAGCCACAGTTGGCTTGCTTTTGTATTGGAAGTGTTTTTGCAACATTTTGGGTCCCTGCCAAGCCCCCTTTTCATGGTTTAATCTTCATGAAACCTTTTAGATATACCTGTATTGCGCAGTTGCTTTAATATGTCGGTTCTTACCAGTTTCGTCTTAAAATCTGCGGTTGATTTATATCGTTATTGAACCCCTTAAATAATTGAACCATATCTCATATCGTTCACTTATTTACTTTGAACTCTTAAGCCACAAAGATCATTAACTCTTTTCTTGGCTTGAACTTAGAAGGCAATCTTTTCGAGCACTTGGTCACGCCACTTTCATTTTTGAAAAACATTTTTTTTATTTTTGAAAAATTTTGACTCATATAAGTTTTTTTCAAATGAAAACTTTTACATAATTAAAAAGATATTTAATTAAAAATATTAAAAAATTGGATTTTTATAAAGAATTAGAAAAATCTAATTAAAATTTTCAAACTAATTTAAAGATCAAATATTAAATTTTCAAAGTTTTATAAATCGAATCATTTTTTCTGATTTTTCGATGGGTTAGGATTCACTTATACTATGTAAACTCTTGTAGTTTTAAACGTTTTTAGGATAATTAGATTGAGGGAAATAAAAGGCCGATATTAACTTTTTTTTTTTGCAATGAATATCTTCTTATTTTCTATTTTTAATCTGAACATTTAATTTCTCTCATTCAATAGTCCTAAAAAGATATAAAACTAAAAGTGTTTTATATAGTGTAATAGGATCCTGCCCATATATATATATATATATATATATATATATAAAGTTTGGGTAAACTACAATTTAGTAATTGAATTTTACTCTTTTTTCTATTTAACTCGATATACTTTAAATATTTTCAATTTAATCACTGAACTTCATCCGTTAAATAATTGATGATCTTATAACATGACATCCAACACTAAAACGACGACATTTCGACTTCCTCAAAAAAAAAAAAACTAAATTTTATTCAAAACTACGTTGTTTTGATTCTTTATAAAAACTTAGGATCTGTTTGGTTTTAGAAAATATTGACTATTTTCATTTACATTTTCTTAGAAAATAAAAAACGTTGAAGAATACGTGTTTGATTGTAAAATTAGAAAATGGTTTCTAAAATATGAATACAAAATATTGAAAATTTGAAAAATAAGGAAACATGATATTTAGATTTTTAACTTAACTTACACAAGTTTAAATCATTCTAAAAATAATTGTGTGATTTAATGATATTTGAAACCCTCAAACTTTTATAAAAAAATCAATATGGTCCCTAAACTTATTTTACACTCAATGTAGTCCTTAAATTAAATCATTTAATAATTTAGTTTTATAGCATTTTTATATTTAATGTATTGAGTATCTTAATAATTTTTTATATTTTATATTTTTAATCTAAATAAATTTTTATTTTTTTAAATTAAACAAGTCCTCAAACTTTTTAATAATCAGTCAAGTCCATCTATCACATCATCGTTCATCGAGTACTACCACAACAGTATCGTGAACTGTCACATCAAGGTTGTAGATTATCATGTAAGTTTATGAACTATCATGTAAACGTCGTGATTGTCAACGTTTGATTCCTTTATTTAAAGGGTTAGATTATTTTTATCCTAAGTTTAAGAATCACATTTGGTGCAAAAATCTTTCCAGGACTACATTAATTATTTTTTCCAAAAGTTTGAGGGTCTCAATTACCACTAAATATATATTTTTATGTTAATGACAATTTTTTGTGCTATTTCTTATAACATAATTTTCTGTACTTTTTTAAATTTAATTGATATCCAATATGCATTAATATTATATTTTTATTATAAACTTAAATAAATTTTGTGTCATGAATTTTCTTATCAATTTTATTGTTTTATATTTACATGATTCACATTTTAAATTTATGTAATGATTTTTTTAATAAATATAGTTTAATTTAGTTATTTAATAACTATTTGTTCATTTTTATTTTAAAGAAATATATACAACATACATTTTTATTATTTTAGTTTTGAATTAAATTTTAATTTATATTAACGGGACATGGTTTTTAAATTTTAAAAAATTGAAAAATGAAAACTATTTTCTAAAAATAAAATAGAAATAAAAAAAATGTTTTCTTAAAACAAGCTTACTCTGTATTTTTTTTCTCATTTCATTCTTTGATTTATTTTTTCTTGTTCGTCCTCTCATTCTCTCTCCCTCTATCCACAGTTTCTGAGTTGCCTTTTGCCCTCCTCTGTGTAAAATCCTCCTTTCTTTTCTTTTTCTTACCAAGAATTAAAATTTGTACATGCCAAATCAAACTTGGTTCCACTACATTCTATGAACAAAACCCAACTAAAAGACAAAATGTATCACTGCGAATGCCCTCTAAAATTCTTGGAGAGGCAGAACCAATGTCGCCCTTCCCTTTCCCGACCTACTTTGGCAGTAGATTCGGATGAATTTTAGGCAAAACCCTATCGTTAGCGATCGTCACACCACCGAGTAGCTTGCTCAGTTCGTCGTCGTTCCTAACGGCCAATTGAATATGCCTTGGAATGATTATGTTCTTCTTGTTGTCCCCTGCTGCGTTCCCAACCAATTCCAAAAACCTGTAAATTATTAGGTAAATTGCAAATGGATCAGTTACTACATCCATCGAAATTACGAGAGGTTATCTATTTACACTATGAGAAAGTTTCGACTTTACAAACCTCAGCGGCGAGATATTTGAGGACGACGGGAGATAAACGGGAGACATCCAGTGGTGGATGCAAAGCATCCCAGGGTGATTACTAGATTTTTTTTTTATATTAGATGTTCATTTTATTATGAGTGCTTATCTTGAAATTTTACTTGTACTTATCTCGTAAGGAAAATTTCAATAATTAATATGTGTGTGCCCACACGGCTCAACGTGAACTAGAGTCCGACCTTTGGCTTGCCTCGTCCTCCTTTGGTTGTTGTTGCGGCGGACCTCATGGTTTCAGATTTTGAGAGGGGGAGATTTTGCAAAACTTGTGCTACTAGGTTAAATCGGAGAAATTATTTTATGGATCCGACTCATTACGTCATATATGGTCACAATGAAAAACAATCATAAATTTTAAAATAATTTCTAAATAACTACCAACTTTTTATAGAACACGAGGTAACCTACATGGACAATTGAGGGTATTTTTCTAATAAATTTGGTTTGGGGGTATTTCTCCAGAAAATAATTTTTGAAGATTTTTATATAATAACGCCTTTTATTTACATGTAGAAAAGAGGTGAAGATTCACATTGAATAAAATGATGTGGACAAATGTTATTGGTTGGGACCACGTATGACGTAGTGAGCCGGGACCATATAATAATTTCTAGTCAAATCGGGTGACAAAAATTATAGTTAAAAAGAATAATAAAATCCTGCCACTTCATAACACTGTTAACAGTAAGGAAACGGTTGAATGACAAAAAACCCAATATATTAAATTTAGTGAGAAAATTGAAAAAAAAAATATGACAAATGAAATAAGAGAAAAAGTAAAATTCAGTTACTAAATTTATAGTTTCCCTTAAAGTTTTTAGCCAAGTTGAAGGTTAGTTCCGAAAATATGAGTAAGAACATGATTTTAATCTTAATTAATATTGTTGATGGAAAGTATTTGATTGTCACAACTGTTGTCATTTTTTTATTTGAACGAAAAAATATAATCGGTGATAGATCGATCATTGACTAATATTGAAGTATTTTGTCTCCTTAACGAGGTAGAAAAGAGATGAGTGGCGTAAGATGTTCATCTTTGAGTTCTATTTGTTCTCTCAGTCTTGGTTGAGAGGTTTTATAGTAACTCTAATAGTTGGAGTCAAGTGTAAGATCATTATGAATACTCGTAGGCTGGCAGGTTAGATGAATATGGTCAAGTGGCGATATATTTGGCCCTGGTAGGTCACGTGTTTTTATTAGAGGTCATATCAACAGGTGATTACTTTTTGAAGGATGTTAGATATCTAAAATCTTTCTTCTAGATACATTGTTTGTATGTCTTCTAAAGTTGTCAAGATTTTTCTTTGGAGGAACTTTTTTGGGATCTTTCTACTCTTCTCTGGATGCTTTTGTGGTACAGGTGATAACTCCGTAAAAAAGAATATATTTTAGGTCTTTTTACTTAAGTTATTGATTGTCTAAAAGCCATTGACATAGCATTTTAGCTGCATATAGTTGCATTTAGGATATATTTTCATGTGATGGATAAGTTTTGCCAAGGCAAAGTTTATTTGATTAAACAATGTTGCTGATGAGAAAGGTTGTTTGTTGATTGTGATGATGCAGGAAATGACTGAGGAAAAATTTATTTGCCAAGACAAATTAATTTGATAGGGCCAATGGAACACAGAAGACGAAGACAGTAGGAACAAATTTTCCTTGCCAAGGCAAGATTTATCTTGTAAGTCTGACGCAGATCTGACGAACTGCTGACTTCAACTACCAGCTGTCTGATTGACCTCACGTGCAAGCAAGCCCCAAAGATTCTAACAATATCCAGCCGACTTTCCATTTATAGTTTGGACAAGAAAACACGGGTATTTAGGGAATTTTCATGGAAATAAAACCCTAAAAATTCCCAATATAAATACCCCATTATAATTCTTGGAAAAAAGAAACATACAGAGAAAATACCCTAGGTTTGGGAAAAGGAGATCGTGGCATCCTTTTTTCCACCATCCCCACTCGTCCGTCCTTGGTGCCCTCCATAGCCAGGCTTCGTCGGGGCGGAGACCAAGCCCTCGAGAGAGGCTGATGTAATGTAGCAGTCATGGTGGTGGTCTGATGTCACGATAGAGCTCTATTTTGGGAGTTTTTCTTCCTCTTATTTATCATGTTTTATTTTTCTAAGGGCTTGTATTTAATGAATATTTTTGGGATGATGTTAACCACACCATAAACTGTTTTATTTGGTATTGGGAATGCTTGGATGATATTTTATTTTACCATTAATGAATGATTAAGTATGTTTTAGTTAAGTGTTGTTTTGTTCACTGTTTTAACCTTTTACCTTGACACTGTAAGAGCTTCGAGAGATTTCCTGGTTCCTAGGTGAAACATTTCTAGACCTTGTAAGAGCTTTTGAGAGATTG